TTTTTTGTAGGGGAAAGAGGGGAGATCTGTCACAACTTTCTACACGGAAAACTAACGTGAGGGAAAAAAGTGAGGTAAGTAACTATATGTTTAATGAAATCAAGAGTCAACGTGATTTTAGAGAAAAATTAGAAAAAAATTAATAATTAAAGACATGATCAAACAAGGTAAAATGCAACATGGGTTTGCTAAAGCTACATCTTGCCAGCATAACCCATTTAAAATAACTTGTTTTTTAAACAAAGGAAACATGGTAGATCTAATGTGGTCCTCAAATATTTGATATGATGCTACATGAACAATTATGGATGAAGCTAGGGAAACTGTTGACTACTGAGGACCTGTAAAGTGGTTAGAGAACTTATTAAGGACCTTTCTTGGGACCAAAACTTGCTTAATGTTTAATGACCTGGGGGGAGAGGGTGAAATGAGCATACTGATTAAATTTACTGAAGATACAAATTTGGGAGGTGCTCTGAATATGAAGGAAAACTGAACTATCATGCAGACAAAAAGAGAATGATCTTGAAGACTGAAGTAATAGGAAAAGGATGACTTTCAATAGCACAAAATGAATAGATCACACATTTGAGGTCTAATAAAAAGAACTTCTAGCATAAGGTGGGAATGACAGGGAGAAAAATTACCGTTGTGTACTAGCTGATTATAGGATGACCGTGAGCCACTAAGATGATGCCACCATTAGAAGGCAAATGTGGCCCTACAACATATCACATATGTTATTTCCAGGAAACTATTAATGTCAGTGTACACGTCATTCTAGAAGCATCACCTGGAACACTGTGCACAATACCTGTCATTGTCAAGAGAGATGAATTGTAACTGAAATGGATGCAGAGAATTACTATTAGAATGAAAGGAGAAATTAGCGGTTTGTCTTATGAGAGGGGACTAAAACACCTTGGCTTGTTTAGTATAGCAGACTGAAGGCTGAGAAAGGTTGGCAACTAGGGTGACATGGCACTACGGGGTGCTATGTGACCACCTCATGGGTGCTGTGACACAGATATGGCTGTGGTGGTGGCAGCCAGGTAAAATGGCCCCCACACTCATGCTTGCAGCATGCATGCACTCCTGCTGCCTTAGGGCTCTGTGATAATGCCAAAACACACAGAGCTGTCTGAAGTTATTGCCCTTCCCATTCCAGCCCCCGTCATGCAGTTCCACCCATGAGCCCCTGTTTCCAGATGGAGCATGAGGGTGGACTGGGAAGGACTACAGCCAGAGATAACTTTGTCTGCTGTAGAGTTATGAGAGCTCTAATGCAGGAGGAGCATGCACACATAAAACAGCTTTTCCCAGGCAGGCTGTGTAGCAAGCACGCAGGGCAGTTTTACCTGAAGGCATAAGTACCCAGTTGAGAAGTACTGAGGTGTACTGAGGCAGCACTAACAGTGGTTCTCAATCGGCAGTCAAAAAAATGTGGTGGCAGGTTGCCGTGACTGAAAAGCTTGAGAACCACTGCTCTAAATACATTGGAAAAGTAATCAGGGAGGGAGAATAGCTGTTTACAATAAAGACACCCTTATATTGCATCTGCAGTGCTCTCAAAAGTGCAGCTGAAGTCCATCCACTCTGTGTTCCCCAAACCCAAAAATGTAGCAGCAAAGCTATTCAGAGGGTGTCACCTCCCACTGCTCTGCTCTAAAGCAGTAGGAACAACCTTTTTGGTAGGTATGCTACAAATTAGCCCCACACTCTCTCTGAACCACTTCCCTCTCCAGCCATTCTGAACCACCTCCCTTCCTTGATCTGCTGCTCTGCTTTCTGCTCCCAGCCCTTTGCTCTCTGGCTTATCTGCTGCTCTGTTTCCTGCTTCCTTCCTGGTGCTCCCTGCCAATCTGCCACTTTGCTTTCTGCTATTGGTCATTATGCTCCCTGCTTCCTCCTTGATGTGCCACATACGGAGGCTGCCCATGCCACTCGTGGCACTCATGCCACATATTAGCCAGCCCTGGGGGGAGAGGAGAGGAAGGGGGGGTCTAGGTACTTAGGGTAGTTTCACTGCCTTATTTTCAGTTTGGTAGTCTCAGTATGGGTATTAAATATATGGATCAGATGGGTAAAAGGTAGTTCTTGGTGGCATTCTTAAGGGCACCATGGAAGTAGTATAGACATCCCTGAAGGACAATGACTGCATAAGTTCAAATGAGCATAAGGTCACCCTTCATAATTTCAAACCAGTGGTTTTCAACCTGTAGTCTGTGGACCCCTGAGGGTCCACAGACTATATCTAAGGGGTCTGCGAAAGATGACTAAGATCAATCAAAAGTATGTGAATGCCCACACTTACAATTCAAGGGGGTCCACACCTCCATTCAAAATTTCCAAAAAGGTCTTCATCTCCACTTGATTTTTTTTAGGAGTCCACAAATGAAAAAAGGTTGAAAACCACTGCTTTAAACTGAAAGTCAATAGACTTCTAACCATCAGAGAAGTGGATGTGTGAAAAAGTCTTAACCAGAGCAAACTTTCCTCAGGCTAAATACGTGGTACTGATGCACCCTTTATCTCTACTAGTTGGGTGCTTAGGAAGGAGCCAGGTTCAAATCCTATCTGTCTAATTTGGAGCAAAGATTTTATAGAAATATACTGTAATAGCAGTGGGTGAGCCTACACATGCAACTAAGTCAAAGCAATAAACTCCAGAGCATATTGCACCCGAGTTTATTGCTTACCAGGCACCATGCTTACATGTGCACCCAGGCAGATAGCATGTTGATCCAGGTTGGAGCAGTGGCATCAATTTTGTTAAATTTAAGGAAGTCTCAACTATAACAAATCTGTTGCTGTAGATGGCAATCTACTCAATATATAATAAACAGCTATCGCTAGAGAAAGAATACAGACTTTGACTTTTAATTCCTGTCTCACAGAGAACAAACCAATGTGTGTTTGCTGTTTTAATCATTTTAATGAAGAGAAGTGATAATTACTTCTCAGAATATTACCAAAATTCAGGCTGTAAAGTAACAGAGCATAATAGGAAGCTCATAACTAAGAATTTGACTTTGTTACTTATTTTGGATTTCTCTACATAATATTGCTAGATTTAAACTAGATATGTAAACTCCAGGGGGCATTCCCTGCTGAATTATAACAATTTTAAGGTATGTCAGTTTTGCGGCCTAAAGTGGTTGGCAGTGCCCCTTTAATTTTTATACACTTTCCCAAGTGTGTACTACAGAAGGCACTCTTAGAGTTTATGACCTAATTTACCTACTTAAAAAAGCCATGGCATTCCCCTTACACTCAGGCAGTTGATGCAAACTAAATGAAATAAAAGGCATGCCATCCTGCTGATACCCTATAAAAGTACAGAGCTGGCAACATTTCTAATGGATTGTTAGTAAAAGATTTTCTGAATCGGAAGAAGGGAGGGGATGAAGATTCCCTTACTAAAACATTTCTTTCTTTCTGTTTTTTTTAAACAAAAAAAAAAAAAATTGGTTCTTATTACAGAAGTAATTAAATGACACTGGCATGAAAAAGTTGAGCCATAGTCTACTGGCAAAATTCCTGGACATCATTGTAGTTATGTCAGTGGAGACCATGCCACTTTTTTTCCCTTCTTATTAGTAACATACTTGCACAAGCTGTACTGAACTGCACCGACTTTGTAAATTAAGAATTAAATCCTGATCCGACGGAATCAATGAATGGCGTTCCAGGTTGAAAAAGGGACTAGACAAATTCACGGATGATAGTTCTATTAATAGCTATTAAACAGAGATATTTCCTCTGGCATTTCTAAACCAATGATGGTAGATGCCAGGGAGGATAATGAATTGAGGATGGATCACTCCAGATATATCCAGGTCAATGCTCCCAGAAAAGCATCCACTTCTGCCATTGTCAGAGGCAGGATACTGGGCTACATGGACCATCAGTCTGACCCAGTATGGCACCTCTTATGTTTTTATGTTTCCTTTATAAATTATTTTGATAAGTATACTCATGGGATTGTAACTCAGCAAAGCTCTTATGTGCATAATGAAGTGAATAGTACTTGAACACAGGCTTGAAATTAAGTACATTCTTACATGCTTTGCTTAATAGAGGACAGAGCTTTTAAGAATGTGTGCACATTCTTTCAGGATTGAAGCCTAGCATATGCCAAGGAGTAGCTTAATGTACAGACATAATGCAACCATTTTAAAATGAACTGCTTATATTTCAAAACAGGTTTGAACAAGTGTAACAGATTTCGTATCTTTTAAAACCATTCCAATTAAGGTTTCATTTTCTTGAAAATCATTCAATAATTTTTTTTCAGTGCTAAAGAAATGCCATGTTTCAGTTTAATGATGGATAATAGTTGAGTTTTTATTGAAAAAAGAAGCTTTTCATGGAAGTACTGTCATAATCTTAATTATAATGTCAAGTAACTCATGTCTGTGTTTATAAAGTGATTGCAACTTATTTTGTTCTCTGATGTATTAAAATTCTCTAGAGTTCTCAAGGTAAATAGATCTGAAATTTGCTCTAACAGCACAGTTCCATTTTATCTATATGGAAAGCTTGACCTTTGATGGAGATACCAGTTATTACAACACTGTATATAATAGACTGACATCATACGTAAGTGATAGTATAACTACAGCATCTATGACAAAAATTAAAAGCAATCTATTGCAAAAACAAATCTTAACTCCTATTTAAAAATGGAAAAAAACCCCCAGCAGCCCAGTTCAGCAGAAAAAGATAAAGAACCTCTTGCTCCTCAATGAACTTCAGCAAGGCAATTGAATGAGACTTTTAAGGATGCAAATTATCTATCAAAACAGAAACTAAATTCCTTTAAACCCTGTGCCCTGAATTACTAATCTATGTGGAAAGCTAAATTTATTGCACATGTTTACAAGGAAATAAATGTCAGACAGAAAGACAACAAGTTTAGTATCATTTTGTTTTTGGTTTGAATTAAACTTCTGAAACAGTTTGATCATAAAGTAAATAGGATTTACAAAACTACTTACAGCTCTCAATCTCCAGTGTGCAATTTTGTTCATCCAGTGGATATCTTCGTAGGTCCATCATACAAGCAGCTGTTGTTGTAATTCTAGAAAGAACATATGAGAGCTTCTTTACTGTTCCCTAATCAAATCTTTGATTAAACATAGCTGGAACACTCCTGCCTGTTTGCTTATTACTAAAATATGGCTTATGCTGATTATGTATAAAGATTAGCACCACTACCAAAACACCTCTAAGAAATCTATCTGATGGCATCCCAGCTCACTGGACAAGTGGTCAGTTTCTATTATACCTCTCACTCCCATCATCAGAGGATCTTCAAGTGTCAGAATCTGTAATATATTTATCCTGACAATCCCCTGGAGAGTAGGACAGTATTATTCTCCATGCTTTAAGATGTGGAATGGAACCAGAGAGAGATCAGTTACTTGGCAAAGGTCACTCAGGAAATCTAAGGTGTGGTAAAGAACAGAAGGCAGGTGGTGGAAATCCTAGATTAAAGCTCCAGCTGCTGGATGGCAAGCCCTCCCTTGTCCAACATGTTCTTAACTGTTGTGAGCAGGACCAAATTATCATGTTAAAACAGATTGTGTGCAAGAGAACAATTACTAAAAATATTTATTGTCTAACAGCAGTAGATATGAAAACTTAACATGAAAACTTTTTATTCCTTTCATCTGCTCAATAATGCTCTTAACTGGGACTAAAATTATTTTCCAGATTGTTTTCACAGGAGAGTTTTAGAGCACATTTTCACCTGCTGATTACACCAAGCCTACTAACCTCAGCACGTGGGAACTTTTTACATGTTTGTGGAAATATCTATACCATATAGCTTGGTTACAGGGAAGAAGCTTGCTTGGGGTTTGTTGAGCTAAATATGAACCAAGACTTACAACATAGGAGCACTGTCTTATTAATGGTTTTCCTTTCAAGGCTTTCTAATGTGGGAGCAAAATCAAATCTTAATCTTTTTTTCCCCCCAAACCATACAATGTTTTACAGAACTCTACTGTACGTGAAAAATGGTACAATTTGGAATCTGCCAATATACAATTAAAATAGAGTATAGTCTATGGACTTTCTAATCTGAGACATCAGAACCCTACATGATAGAGGGATTAGTTTACAGATTGGATGCACATTCCTAGAAAAGTTCATAGCTTCCTCTTTCTTGCATAATCTCCTCCTGTAACATCTATTTTATCAGTATTTGATAAGACGGGTTATAAAGAAATGACAAGGTCTAAATCTCATTTAATAGACCTGTTCCTCAATGTCTAATATCAGGTTTATAACAAGACTTCCTGGCAGATAAATTCTCTACAGCGTCTGTCTGAATCAAGTACAGTCCTTTTCCTCACAGCTCCTCCATGACAACAGAACTATAGATGTGCTATCCCCTCATAAATGACTGAGCATTCAGTCCTCTGGCTGAAGCAGTGGAATATGACAGGCAAGTCTTATTTCTGGCACTTTTTAACTCTCAAATTCTTGCTTTGCAATCTTAATATTGCTATAATGTAGTGGCGTTGTGTGTATGTGACCAATACTACAAGAGTGTGTAGAGACCTCATGTAGGATTAGAGCTCCATGTATCAAATGCTGTATGAAGACATACGAAAACACAATGTCTTACCTCTTCAGAAAGGATATAAAGAAAAAAGAGTGGCAATTAGACCAGAAACCCAACCTAAATAAGGACTTTGATTGGTGTGCATGATGGATAAGAATAACCAATAATGCTCTTAATTGGGATTGAAATAAACCAAACAAGAAAAATTCACCTTAAAATAATTATTCTTTCCTCTCCCATGATTTTGCCCAAAGTTTTATCTTCTTTCCTTTGAAAGCATTGATAAAAATAAATGTTTACCTCTTCAAAGACTTATTTACTTGAACAAAAAATAATTAAATTCTTTCAAACAGCATCCACAAGTGGCACACAACTTATTCTGGTGTTCAAAACTAAATTGAGAAATTAATAACAAGCATTTTCAATATTCCACAGAGTTCAAGACATAAGATATCCAACTAAGCGTTTAGAAAGAGATGAATTGAAATCTGTTCTTTATACAAACACCTGAAATAGGCACACCTCTCCCTCTAAACAGCAACACACTGGTCATTTTTACATGTGTAAGCATGACAGTGCCGAGTGCTTTGAAAAGCACTTGGCGCTGTGTGTCTTGCAGTTAGTTGTATAAGCAGAGAAAGGTGTGTCAGTGCTGAGAAAATGGCAGTGGCACACTTTTGAACTAAAACACAAAGAAGGTGCTCTAGTTCAAAAGTGCATCGCTGCCATTTTCTGCACACTGATGCACATTTCACTTCTTATACAACTGCACACAGTGCAGTGCAGTTCGTATCAGCTCATGTGCAGAGCAGATTCGATTAATTGAGTCCGCTTCGAAGCAGGGGATCTTTGGCGCATTGCAGGACAAAAAAGTATGTGTATAAATGCCCTTTGGCTTTCCTAAAACCGACTGAAAAAAAAGTTCTAACTTCATGCCAATTCATAAAATAAATAAAAAAAACTTCACTTCCTACAGCATACTCTTGTGAACTGACCACTGAAAATAAAAGCTTGTCCTCCCTTCCAATGAAACCCACTGTGACTCAATTTATTAAGGTCATTAGTGACGGTAACCATACACAATGCCCTCAAAGAAATCCCGCATGAAAGAAAAACAACATAGAAGATGTCTAGTAGGTTAACTTTTGATCAGCTTTAATGAAAGACTTTGATAAGAAGGCTTCTGATAGTCCAGTGACTAACAACAAAAACAGGTTTCAGCACTCTAGTTTATGATATACAATTCCAATGAAAGATCATTTCAGAGCATCCCCTTGTATAATTTTTTTAAAGTTAAAATGACTAAATAAAATTCTATAAAAATACATAAAATACTACCCAACAACACTGTATTATGGAGTTATCTGTGTATTGCAATACACAGACGTACTGGATTTAGATTCAAAGGGGCAATTAGATATATGTTTATAGGTAGATCATATGAGTGTAGAAAATCTCCCCTTTTCTGTCAGGGCTGCAGATCATTGCAGAGTGCAAAGAAGAACTGCAGGGACTTCTTTCTAGCATGCCTCAATGAAAGCAGGGACACAAGGTAGTTTGGTATTTGTTCCGGCCCTTGGTGCAGTCTAGCTACCCTCATGGAAGTAAAACCGAATTCTGATACATTTCCAGAATGCACTTTCCCAAAAGAATGGACCTGCTGTGTAGTTATCTCTTGTCCAAGATGTATGCGAGGTTCTGCAAAAGCATACTTGGCGTTAACAGCTACAATGAGGCCTTTCAGTTGCAAGGCTTTTTGCCAACCAGTAACAAGAAAAAAAATATATAATGCATAACCTTCTGGTAGAATCACAATATTTACTTTGCCTCAATACCATTCAGTTTCCTAGCCCTGCAAACTCCACCTAGGATCTGAAAATCGAATTGGGATTTTAATAGTACTGCCATCTTTACAACTAAAGATTGTTGTCTGAAAGTCGGATGGACAACTCAATTGGTGTGTGAATTAAGGCAGTATCTGACTGCCTCTCATAGCTGTATTGACTCAATAGGGCTAACGTGAGTAAGCAGTAACTGAACCAGATCATCTCCCCTAACATAAGCAGCTATGACTCACACACAAAGGAACAGAAATGATGAGCAAGATGGTGACATTATTATCTAGTTTCTCTAACCAAAATGGCACTTTTCATTTCTTTTTTTTGGAGAACTATGAAGCAAAGTGAACTATCACACCTGTTTTGAAGCTGACAGGGATAAGTCAAAAAAGCTATTTGAACAGGAAATTGAGGAACAAGAAATCATCTGCAGATTGGATTTTGGTAAGCATGTTTTAAATGTGGACTATGGATTTTTATCTCATCACCTGAGTTAGCTTTCGTGACTCCATTGTTTCTATGGGATTATTCCTTGCTTGTTTGCCTCTCCCAGCACAGCCCCCTTGTACCTCTCCCTTCTGCTTTTTGTATTCATATTTCTCTCTCTTTCTTATCCACTGGTTTGTGCACATGCTATCACAGCATCTGATGAAGTGAGTGTCAGCCCACAAAAGCTTGTGATACACATACACATTGGGTAGTTTAAAGGTGCAAATCTACCCTGCCTTCTACTTACATTCAGACTAACATGGCTAATTAAATCTTGATAACATGGATCCCATTGAAAACAAGGGCAAAATCATCGTCAGAGAAAAGTACAAGGGCCTAATCTTCCCTCATGTACGCAACTCCAACAGCAGGCAAGAGGATCTGACTTTTAATTAGCAATTCCAGTATCAATCCCACAAAACCTTCAGTGTAAATTATGTTCTGTAACTGACCATGTCTCTTTATCACAACCCTTATCAAAATCCTTTATGCATGATAACTAAGAGTCAGTGACTCTCTGTCTATCTGAATTAGTTACTGAAGCCATATACTATAGCCGTGCTCAGTGTTCACTTCTGCTTCTTGGAAACAGACTTGCTGTGTGACAGTTGGAAATGTTGGCAGCAGTAGGGAGCAGACCCAATTACAAATATGTGGAAATCTGGAGACAAAACTGCATTGTGATTAATCTCTCTCCTGTACAAGGATACCAGCTTTAAACAGACATGATCAAGGTTGTTTGAAACAGCATTTGACCTACTTTAAATTAAAATATATTTACTAGGTGCCCCAAAATCTACAGAATCCGCTTTTCTTCTCCTCTTGCCACCAAAATGAAAGTGCTTCTCCTGTATAGTGATGGGGTAAGGGCTGCCTTTAGCAAAACATAAATTATGGTGACATTTCTACAAGTACGTTCAGAAAGCAGAACATTCTGTGACTGGCGACAATGAGATATAGAGCATATGCATTTTGCTCCTGTATAGTATAGCTTTATGAAGAAAACAGCAGATGAAATTACTGATGGCAAAATGAGAGGCAATAAAGTTTCTAGACTATTACAGAAGGTACCATTTAAGTCAACCTAGCTTTGCTGCTGAGGCTTCATGACTATCCTGGCACAGACAGTCTCCTAAGCTATTTTGCATTCTCTTTTGGAAATGATCAAAGCTCTGAAACGTC